TACGCGCACTACAAACCCGGCCACCCGAGTTCGATTCCTGCCCACGGCCAACACCAGTGACGATTATCTGAACTGGTCCTGGGCCTCCCCATAGGTCGACTCAGCCTCACATGAGTACCTGGTGCGATGTGTAAACATGACCACTCGGGAGACAAAGGCAGTCGGGCGTGTTATTGGTAAAACCCTTTTGTGTGCCGTACCGGCCTTCATATGTGCCACTTGCTAACAGTACTTGACCAAAGTCTGTTAATGCCTATATGGGTGATCTTTGTTGTATATCTGTAGATATATCCAATACGTGTATGTAAGTACTTAGCCTGTAATCTAACACTGTGGAGGCAGCAGGAGAAAGCAGTACAACAGAGGATGGACTAATCGATCCCTTCTTTGCACCTGTGAGGGTCGCTAGCCCCCGAGATCTCTCCCGCCTGTGATCCTGCCCGAGAAGTCCCATCGGCCGCAGACTCTCCACTAGTGTGAGAGCTGCTACTACTGTACTCATCACTGGCGGAGGAGGGTTGCCGCGCTCCGGCTCCTTTCCCTGGGTTAACCCTCCCCGATTCCGCGTGTCCGGCAGGTGAGGCATTGCTCCCGATCGTCCGGATACCCGCTAGAGTTGCACTGGCAATCGAACGCAACATCTCCACTCGCGCAGTCTCACGCACCAATCACACGCGCGAATCGAGGGGTCAGGGGTCGAAGGTAAACGATGTCACTCATGCCCACGCCGCCGATTGGGGGATTGTATTAAATGGGTTTAAAGGGCTGCGGGGTGGGCACGCACGCCGGTTGTTTACTCGCGTGCAACGTGGGAGCCCGCAGATGCGGGTTAGAGCACACACTCGCAGGGCGCCGACCGTACACGCTGTGATCATATGTACACCCAGCACCGGCGCGTTCACTCGCTCGTCGGAAATCACACCAGGCTGATATTTACTCGCGGGTCCCAATCATACGCGATACAGCAAGCGGATACCCGCTCGCACGCTTTCCCCACACACCCGCAAAGACCACACCAGGCTGTTATTGATCCTAACGATTTATTCCTGGCGTATTAGCGAACCACTGTTGCGTCAGTAGGGATCGGCGAGGCAGGCTTATACTATTGAAGTACTCTTGAAGACGCGTGGACACCGTAGTAAGGCACACGTATTTATTTACACAATGTCTTACAGCGCTGAGGGATGTATCGGCCCCCTCACCCGTATAACTGGGAATTCACTTCTAACTAGCCTTCCTAGCCGAGTCCTCCACTAACGGGCTAGGGGAGGCTGTCTGGCCCGACACTGGTCAGTCGGGCTACGGTACCCGGAATCCCAGAGGACTAACTCTGGTTCCGGGACCACGCCACTGGCTCCAGCCTGCGCTGCCCTTACAAGGGCGGCGTCCCAGGGGGAGTCCAGGGCCTATCTGGCCGGTCTTCCTTCTTTCCATAACTACTCTAAGACTCAACCCCGAGCTCTCTGGCTCATCCCTTTTTATACCCCCCTAGAGGATCGAAACCCCCCTCACGCCGTCCAGTGCGGACGTCGTTGCGGGCACCACCCCGTGTGCTCACGGAGTCCCCGCCCACTGCGTTTGTTATCCGTTAGCTCCCATGCAAACAGCCCTACACAAACAGCCCCTCTGTAACAGCCCTACAT